TTCAGGTGTTGAGATAGACTGTAGAGAAAGGGTCCATTTGGCCAGTGGGAGCTGTCGCATTAGAGTTGATGAGCCAAATTCAAACTGATATAATGGCAATCTGCCCTGTGCCAGGCCCTTCCTGTCTGCCTTCACACTTATGACATGGGGATGCCACTGCCTGGCAGTTTCCTCCTCCTCAATTCCTGTTGCCATTGTAGTACTCAGCAGAGACGAGGACTGGGGGCATAAGTACAATCAGTGGCTCTGGGTTTTCTTCTTGTTGGCATTCCTTGTTGGCACTACCCATCCTAATAGGTGCCTTTTTATTTCCTCCACCCACATGCCAAAAGAACCTTTACCTATTCGGCCTTTGCAAGGGTTGGTGGGCTTCCGTGGCACATTTGTCTTGGCTACTTTCATATCACTTTCATGTATTTTTGAGAAATAAACATTAAGACCACCATATGTGATTACAGTATTGCTCTGGCATAACTGACGAATGCATGCTGGACATGGATCCTCCACCCCCACCTGACAATATTGAACATGTACCGAAAGCCGGAGACCCTTTGATGTCAAAGCATGTCAGCCTGGAATTTCTGGAGCTCCTGAGAAAGCAAAGCATACTGCAGGAGCAACGAGTGAAGAAGCTTTTTGATGAGCTGCCTGCAGAAAAATCAGCATGGCAGAATTTAACCAAACAATCAAACAGATGGTATTGGAGATCTTAGACAATGCCTAGAGCACAAGTAGCTGGTCAAGTTTATTAGAGTAGGATTGATTACTGAGGATGATTACTTGAGATTCAGTATTCAAACCTAGTAGGTGTTAATGAAATCCACATGCACATGCTGCTATAGAATTAATAATAATAATAATAAATTTTATTTATATCCCGCCCTCCCCAGCAGAAGCCCGGCTCAGGGTGGCTAACAACAATAAAACAGTACAACAGAACAACACAAACAACACTCTAAAATCATTCATTATAAAATTAACTCAAATCAAACCAATGGCAACCATTGGGCCAGAGCTCCGCGAAGATTGCCAAAGAAGGGAGTCAGGCTGTGCCCTGCCCAAAGGCCTGGTGGAACAGCTCTGTCTTGCAGGCCCTGCGGAAAGATGTCAAGTCCCGCAGGGCCCTGGTCTCTTGTGACAGAGTGTTCCACCAGATCGGAGCCACAGCCGAAAAAGCCCTGGCTCTAGTTGAGGCCAGCCAAACCTCTCTGTGACCTGGGACCTTCAAGATGTTTTTATTTGAAGACCGTAAGTATCTCTGTGGGACATACCAGGAGAGGCGGTCCCGTAGGTATGAGGGTCCTAGGCCGTATAGGGCTTTAAAGGTTAAAACCAGCACCTTAAACCTGATCCTGTACTCCACCTGGAGCCAGTGCAGCTGGTATAGCACCGGATGAATGTGATCTCGCAGCGAAGACCCCATAAGGAGTCTCGCCACGGCATTCTGCACCTGCTGGAGTTTCTGGCTCATTCTCAAGGGCAGCCCCACGTAGAGCGAGTTACAATAATCCAGTCTGGAGGTGACCGTCGCATGGATCACAGTGGCTAGGTCAGGGCGAGAGAGGTAAGGAGCCAACTGCTTAGCTTGGGGAGATGAAAAAATGCTGCAATCTGCGTCTCCATGGAAAGGGAGGTGTCGAAGATTACACCCAAACTCTTAGCGGACGGTGCTGGCACTAATTCCACCCCCGCAAGAGATGGGAGTTGCCCCCCCCCCAATCCCATATAGTCCCATCCCAGCCACAGGACCTCTGCTTTCGAAGGATTTAGCTTCAACCGGCTCCCAAGTAACCATCCAGCCACAGCATCCAAACATCTGATCAGTGTGTCTGGGGCGGAGTCAGGATGGCCATCCATCAACAGATAGAGTTGGGTGTCATCAGCATACTGATGGCAACCCAGCCCAAAACTCCGGACAAGCTGGGCGAGGGGGCGCATAAAGATGTTGAAAAGCATCGGGGAGAGTATTGCACCCTGAGGCACTCCACACACCAAGGAGTGGCGCTATGACAATTCCCCCCCAAGCGCCACCCTCTGTCCCCGACCAGAGAGAAACAAGCACAGCCATTGAAGGACTGTGCCCTGGATCCCCACGTCGGCAAGGCGGTGGTCCAGGAGTTCATGATCGACCATGTCGAAGGCTGCTGACAGGTCTAGAAGAATCAGCAGCCCCGACCCGCCTCGATCTAGCTGCCTACGGAGATCATCTGTTAGGGCGACCAGAGCCTTCTCGGTCCCATGACCAGCACGGAAGCCGGACTGGAATGGATCCAGAGCTGATGTTTCATCCAGAAACCCACCAAGCTGTTCAGCAACCGCTCTCTCAATCACCTTACCCAGGAACGGAAGATTCGAAACCGGGCGGTAATTGGTTAAATCTAAAGGATCTAATGGTGTTTTATTTAAGAGCGGGCGCACCACTGCCTCCTTCAGTTCCTTTGGAAATGTCCATGTGCCAAGGGACAAATTGATGATATCCCCCAGGAGGGCCCGCACCTCGTCTGGACACGCTCTAATCAGCCAAGACGGGCACAGGTCAAGAGGACAGGTGGTGGGCTTTCCAGCTCGGAGGAGTCTGTCCACATCGGCTGGGGATATCCAGTCGAAGTGGTTCAATACTGGGCCCGAGGACAGTCGAGGGGCCTCCAGTTCCTTTATTGTACCCAAATTGGCAGGGAGGTCATGGCGGAGCAAAAAGAACTTCTCCACAAAACAGCTCGCAAATGCCTCACAGCTGTGTGTCAAATTGTTATTTAAATTTGGCTGTCCCTCGAGGAACGTTAAAGACGTAATTATACTAAATAATTGTAGAACTAAATGGCAGGTCCAATGGAAGAGCTTTTACAGTGCTAGGATTCAATACTGTAAACATGACATGTTACTAAGGTTTACGTATTGCAGGATGATCCTTTAACATGCATATCGTGTCACAATTCCTACCTTTACTCCTTAGTCAATAACTGGTTTTCTGTGACCCAATATGTTATTGTGCAATATGTCTGCTATTGTAGATGTGATCTCATCAGTTATCGTTAATTACAAATGGCCACAACTTCCAAGTAGCAGGCAATCTAAGCACTCCCTCTTTTCCACAATTCTTCGTTTCCTCATACAGATGGCACACCCATCAGAGTCTCTTTAAACAGCTACATATAGGGACATGTCTCCATAGGTGTGGAAATTAGCCTATGAAAAGGTGCACCAGACAAGACTTCTGCTGCTTCCAGAGAGAGGTGACTGAATTAAAGGCAATTTAGGCTTACCAGGAATGTAAGTAAAAGTTTTTGTTCAAATAATCGTAAAGTGTAGAGTTGGAAGGGTTCCAAGGGTCATCTAGTCAACCCCCTGCAATGCAGGAATCTCATCAAAGTCTCTCATTCTATTTGAAACCATACTGGACCCTGCTTCGTTTGCAAATGTGCTAGTAGTTGTGCTATTTGTCACTTCTTGTGCGGGGGTCTGCAGAGAGAGAGAGAGAGAGAGAGAGAGAGAGAGAGAGAGAGAGAGAGAAATGCTGTCTGTCTTTCAGTGTTCTTTAGGGCTGGGCAATATCAGGTTTATAACATCACAATATATTACCAGCTAAATACCACAATATCTCAATACATCACATGATATATCTGCGGCTGCAGAGGGCCTTTCTCACTTTCCTTAATACTCCAGCAGTGGGGTTTGGGGAGACCTTTATAAAAAGTATAAAATCAATCTATAATGAGCAGACGGCCAATATAATTGTAAACAACATATCAGGAAAATGTATGATATATAAAGGGATGAGGCAAGGTTCCTCAATGTCCCCGCTGTTATTTATATTAATATTAGAAGTACTGGCTCAAAATATAAGGATTAACAAGAAAATCAATGGAACAACAGTGGGCCAGCAAAATTACAAATTGAAAGCATTCGTGGATGACATCGTATTAACCTTAGAACAACCCAGAATGAGCATACTGGAGGTGACAGAAGAGATAAGTAGATTTGTAAAATTGGCTGGCTGCAAACAAAATAAAGGGAAAATCAAGATGCTGCTAAAAAAATAAAGAATAATCAAAGAAAAAGACATTGAATTGGAATGTGGGTGGGAAATAGAAACAAAAATAAAATATCTGGGGATTTTGTTAACAATAAAAAAACATAATATCTATCAAGACAACTATGTAAAAGCTTGGAAAGAAAGAAAGATTTGGAAATATGGGAGAGAATGAAGCTATCACTGTTTTGGCCATCAAAATGTATGTCCTTCCAGTTATAAATGATATTTGATGTTTCATATAGTGGCAGAAAAAAGTATTAAGGTTCATATGGCAGGGAATGAAGCCCAGGGTAAAATTTAAAATTATGCTTGATGAAAAGAAAGAGGAGGTTTGCCCTGCCAGACCTTCAACTTTACTTCGAGGCATCATGCCTATGTTGGATAAAACATGCTCTCTGTTCCCGTTTTTGAAAATGCAAAAAACAAAACAAAACAAACAAAAACCTTCAGCAATGGAATGAAACCAGCTTGCTTTACAACAGATAAATGATGGAGTCATATATTTCTTGGAGTCATATATATTCATATATTTTGTAAATCTCCATGATGGACGTTGGAAACACAATACAGCAACTGAGCAAGTTGCAGTGGGGAAAACTAGGAAAATATTAAGCAGCATGAGATTTTCATGTATTCATGAATGTTTCTGGGATGGCAGATCAAACCAATGTACTGCATTTTCTTTTTTCCAGGTAAACAGTGGGGGAAATAGCATCACAACTGAAGAAAATTTCACTTTATATATTTATTTCATTGGCATACGCTTGGTGCTTCAGATCAGGAAACAATGAGCTGGTTTACTCAAATGCTGCAAAACTTGATTAGTTTTCCTTATTTAGAAGAATACCTGAGCTCAGTGGTTCACCCTTGGTGGTTTCGTAAGCTTCTGATTTTGCTTTGTTCATTAATGATACATATATATTTGGTTGGCTGTGCTTGCTCATTTGGGCTATATGTTTACATGAAGATGAATAAGCACCAAGAAACTGGTCCTGATAGCAAAATTTGGAAAAAGCCAAGGAAATTTTTTGCTCATATTGCAGATATATATGGAAAGATATGGCATGGTGAGTAAAAGTTTCTTTCATAGCAATAATTCTTCCTTATGAGTCACTATAATTTCATAGGACGGGATCAGAATTTCAGGCTTGAAGCAATGGAACAATAGTTGCCACAGTGAATCAGGACTGGACCTCTGAACCCCCCTCAGAGTCACAACAGCTACAAGTTTGGGGTGGCTACATAAGGATCAAAATAAAGGCATGGCTATTTATTTATGTAATAAGAAAAACAAAGCATTTTATGAAGTATGAAACTAAGGCGGTTCTGTGAATCGCCCTGACACCTCCAGGTATAGGGTGGTATATAAATTCAATAAATGATAAAATAAATAAATAAGACAGATTACAAAAGAAAGGGTCAGCTGGTGACTGCATAAACACTATACATTTAAACCACATTTTAAGTACGCTTCTTCCCCTAAAGAAACCTGGAGAATGTTTTTTACCCCTCACAGAGACACAATTAGCAACTATGTACAGTGGTACCTCGGGTTACAGATGCTTCAGGTTACAGAACTTTGCTTCAGGATGAGAAAAGAAATCGCACCATGGCGGCATGGCGGCAGTAGGAGGCCCCATTAGCTAAAGTGGTACCTCAGGTTAAGAACGGTCCTCCAGAATGAATTAAGCTCTTAACCTGATGTACCACTGTAGTTGCTATGGAGGTCAAAAGTGAGTTCCCAACGGGTTTGCAGTTCCATTTGTTGCCGGGCTGACCCAACTGTCAAACTGTGATCTCTGGACTCCAATGCACTCCTGCAGCAGGCTGCCTCGAATTTCTGTTCTCATCCTGAAGCAAAGTTGTTAACCTGAGGTACTATTACTGGGTTTGCAGAGTCTGCAACCTGAAGCATCTGTAACCCGAGGTACCACTGTATGTACACAAACTACGGAATTTGTCAGCACAGGATGTGGTGATGGCTACTAATTTAGACGGACACTGCGGGAAACAGGATGGTCTAATACAGAGGCCTTTGGTCTGATCCATAGGACTCTTTATATGTTCTCAGTGCTTCCCACAGGTCTTATGTTACTGTAAGTGTTGAAACTTAAATCAGAAATACACGACTAAGGATGAGACCGTGTAGCTACTTAGGGCATGGTCAAGGGGGGGGCGTGTCTAGGAAGCAGCTTTCTCACTTGGTAGAAAGTGATTCAGAGAATGGTCTGAAGATGCCTGAAGTTGGAGCTCTTAGGCACGGGGAAGAAATATACTCCAGGCCCTGGATAGCTCTCATACAGAAGGGGGATACTACTCTTTAAATTAAAAAAGTCTCAAAAAACTTTAGTATAACTATAACAACACATTAAACTGTCTCAAGGGCTCAACCCTATATAAAAGCTTAAAGTAGACTAAAACAGCAAAACACAGTTTTAGCTCACTCAGAGACTGGGCAAAATGTTTCCACCTGCTCAAAAGGAAGCAAGGAAGGAACATTCTACGAGAGGAGAAATCCCTTCATTCATTAAGGGACCACTACAGAGAAAGTCTTGATCCGTGTGGTTGACAACCTAGCATCCAGAATGCTGGAGCATATTGTCATTGTTGTTTAGTCATTTAGTGGTGTCTGACTCCTCGTGACTCCATGGACCAGAGCATACCAGGCACTCCTGTCTTCCACTGCCTCCCGCAGTTCGGTCAGACTCATGCTGGTAGCTTCAAGAACACTGTCCAACCATCTCGTCCTCTGTCGTCTCCTTCTCCTTGTGCCCTCAGTCTTTCCCAACATCAGGGACTTTTCCAGGGAGTCTTCTCTTCTCATGAAGTGGCCAAAGTATTGGAGCCTCAGCTTCACGATCTGTCCTTCCAGTGAGCACTCAGGGCTGATTTCCTTCAGAATGGATACGTTTGATCTTCTTGCAGTCCATGGGACTCTCAAGATTCTCCTCCAGCTTCATAATTCAAAAGCATATAACAGAGCTTTTAACCTGATCTTAAATTTAATTTTTTTTCTGAACCACACTGATTTCCTCCAGTAATGGTTGCAATATTTCTTTGTTGCATTTTGTATTATTTTCAGGTTATGAACTTACTGGTATAGAACATATCCCTAAAGGACCAGGGATTATTATTTATCATCATGGAGCTATGTCTATCGGCTATGTCTTTTTTGCGGCTAGATATTTTTTAGAGACGGGGAGAGCATGCTTTTCATTAATGCATCATGTCGTGTATTGGATACCAGGTAAATTATTTAAATTGAAATCATGCTTTTTTACATAAAACATGTAAAATATGACATGAAACAATGCTATAAGCTATGAAACAATGCTATAAAATATAAAACTGTACATCAGGAAAGCAGGTAAAAACAACTGATAATGTGTCATCTGATTCCTATGCTATGACTACAAGCTCTCATGTAATAATTGCTGATCACTTTAATACCAGAACAGGGCAAGGCGTAGGCTTTGGGGTGTCTAAGTTGACGATTTCCTCAAGTACAAAGAGTTTTGCAAAGTTCTGTCATTAGTAAAGATGGGATATTCCTTACTGGAAAGAACAACGCAAAGTATGGGATTCTGCTTGGGAGCATCTGCACTAGCAAACCACCTGCGCAAAATCCTCTGTATTCAAACACCACTGGGTGGCAGCAGGGATGGGCTAGGAGCTACAGCTAAGGAAAAGGGCAGAAGCCCAAGTGAAGCCCCAAAGACATGTCCAAGGCTTTCATAGCAAGTCCAACCTATCACCTAATCTGCACACAGATCCCAGAAAACATGGCCCCACCCAAACACATGGCCAAGCAAGCACTCCCACACACAGCTTTTATGTCCCCATGTGACCCCACCCAAACACATGGCCAAGCAAGCACTCCCACACACAGCTTTTATGTCCCCATGTGACTCCAATCAAACACATGTGGCACCCTTGCTGTAGTGTTCATGGCCCTCCACTGCCACTCCCCCCCACATCATCTTCCTCTGCATGCACACAGCAGCCACCCCAGGAAACTATGACATCACAGAAAGGTCATTTGAAGGAAGGAGTCCAAAGAGACCCAGTAGCACAGAGCGCTGTTTGGAGTTTTTCCACTAGGTTAATTAATGCAGCATATAACCTCCACCCATATATCTGTGTACCAATCTCAGCTGGTGGAGGCATTTTTCCTTCAGCATTGTCTCCTCTGTGCCATGCGTGTATCCCCCCCCCCCCCGCCGTGTGTGTATCTACTATATCCAAAAGCTCTGCACCCTAAAGGGATTGAAGGTTTGGATGGTGGAACAAGGCACTGTGACCTGTATTTTTATCATAATGCAAACTTGAATGTATTACAGACTTGACTTGAGGAACACATGTCTAAAAAGTTCGCACCTCAGCACGCAACCCTACTCAATGTGCTTTCCAAAAAAACCTCTACTGTCAGAACCTCTAAGCAAAAGTGGAATTAGCATAAAGTCCCCCTCCATGAAATCCTAGTTAAAATGGGTTGGCAGAGAGCTATGCTTGTGATCCATAATAGTGCACTATCTTTGGAATAATGACACTTGTATTGTATCCACACTATTTCCTAAATAGGTTTCACATAAAATGCATTCTTCTATTTGGGGCTTATTTTTTCAGGGCTGCAGATGTTTTTTTATGTGCTCGGGTTGAAATCTTACAATAAAGCTGAAATTGTGGAAATGATGAAGAAAGGCCGTTTAATGGGCATTTCACCTGGTGGAGGTAGAGAAGCACTGTATAGTCATGATTACGACATAATGTGGGGTAAACGCACAGGTTTTGCTCAGGCAGCTTTGGAGGCGAAAGTGGTGAGTGATCTTTGTGCAATCTGCATTGCCTTCACGATTATCCTAGATAAGACGTAATGTGTTGACATCCTTGATCCAGCATCCTAAGTAGTTGAGGATGGCAAATCCCCTATTTGGGGGTCAGATGATATCTGGAGTGCCACAGGTCTCCCCACCCCTGCTTAAAACAAACCTACTGAAATTGGTGACATTTAAAAAGAAAACCTGCGTTTTCCTTTTATCTTTCTTTTTTATATATAATTTTATTTTTAAAAATTGTTTTACTGTTTAAAATACTCATTTTACATCCTTAAGCTCTCCCCAACACTGCTTTAAAAAAAAACCTTTACTTATCGTAAATCCCTGCATATTTTACAAAAACTATACTATTCAGTATTCCATTATTGAATCCATCAAAACATATTACACTGCAGTATTTATCTTAATGCTGCCAGTCATCATCTATTTCAAGATCCTTCTCATAATATGTCTGGAGCACTCAGTCTTTGATATTTCTAGAATAAAAAAAGAAGCAAACAATCTCCTGGAAATGTTTTCTTCTTAGCATACGAGGATTTAACCCTGAAAGCATGATCCATAACAAAAATTAAGGCTTGGTTGGGACAAAATAATTATCCAATCTTCACCTTTCTTTTCATGTTTGCTTCATCTTTTTTTTTTTAGCCCATCATCCCTATTTTTACACAAAACAGTTGTGAAGCATACAGGACCATTGGAAAGACAAGTAAGTTAAATACCTTGGTTGATCAAGAGATCTCAGGCAATATACATTTTAATAATATAGAATGATCTTTTTAAAAGAATATCTATTTACTACTCACTTAAAATGAGTAGGGGAACTGAACAGGAAACATACCATATTCTGCAGTCTATTGTACACAAATTATGACTGATTGCAAAGAGCTGATAAGAGCTGACTGAATATCTTGTACAGTGGTACCTCAGGTTAAGTACTTAATTGGTTCCGGAAGTCTGTACTTAACCTGAAGCATTCTTAACCTGAAGCGGACTTTCCCATCGAAAGTAATAGAAAGTGGATTGATCCGTTCCAGATGATGAAAAAACACCGCCTAAAACAGCAATTTAACTGTTTCACGAGACCATTGTTCCATAAAATGATGGCAATAATCAATGTAAAGGTAAAGGTAAAGGGACCCCTGACCATTAGGTCCAGTCATGACCGACTCTGGGTTTCCGGTGCTCATCTCGCTTTATTGGCCGAGGGAGCCAGTGTACAGCTTCCGGGTCATGTGGCCAGCATGACTAAGCCACTTCTGGCGAACCAGAGCAGCACACGGAAATGCCGTTTACCTTCCCAGCAGAGCGGTACCTATTTATCTACTTGCACTTTGACGTGCTTTTGAACTGCTAGGTTGGCAGGAGCAGGGACTGAGAAACGGGTGCTCACCCCGTCGCGGGGATTTGAACCGCCAATCTTCTGATCGGCAAGTCTTAGGCTCTGTGGTTTAACCCACAGCGCCACCCGGATCCCTAATAATCTATGTACTGTACTATATAATAAATAAGACAGTATTTTAGATGATTTTTTTTTTCCAAACTCACTGTTTGGAGGGGGCTCCGGGTCCTCTTCCACAATCACAATCGGATTGGCTCCTGGCATTCGTGGAGGCCTCAGAGAGCTCCTGCGGCTGGAGCTCAGTTGCAGAGCCTCTGCAGCCACAGTGGATGTCGGGGTTTGGATCCCGGCATTTGCGGAGACCTGCAGGCACTGCGGATGTCAGGACTAGGCATTTGCAGAACTACTCTAAGCACCGCAGATGTCGGGGCTTGGCTCCTGGCATTCGTGGAGCCCTGCAGGCACCGTGGACGTCAGGACTAGGCTCCCGGCATTCGCGGAGCCGCTCTAGGCACCGCGGATGTCAGGGCTTGGCTCCTGGCATTCGCGGAGCCCTGCAGGCACCTCGGATGTCGGGGCTTGGTTCCCTGCATTCGCAGAGGCCTCTGAGAGCTCTGTAGGCCCCGCCGTTGTCCAGGTTTGCTTCCAGGCAGCGGCGAGTCCTCCAAGAATTTGGACAACTTACCATAATTTTCGCTCCATAACACGCAGTTTTTTCCTCCTAGAAAGTAAGGGGAAATGTCTGTGCGTGTTATGGAGCGAATGCCTACGGATGGCGGGGGACCGTGCCTCGCTTTGAAACTGCAAAGCGGGTGTAAGTGGCTCCTGTCAGCGAGCCGAGCCGGGGAGGAGGGAGAGAAGCAGAGCGGGGTTGGCTGCTTTAAAACAACCCCGTGCTCTATGTCCCTCTCTCCTCCCCACTGAGCTGCTAAGTAGCAGCAAAGCTTTTCAGCCAGCCTAGCCGGGAGGAGGGAGAGAAGCAGAGCGCGCGGTTGGCTGCTTTAAAACAACCCCGTGCTCTCTGTCCCTGCCTGCAGTTTTTTGCTGTCCGATTTTGGATTAGCCACTGTAGGGGCTGTGTGTGTGTGTGCTTGAGCTATCGTTCTCCTCCTCCTGCTTCCCGTTCACTCTCCCAGCGCCTCAGCGCTCTCCTGCAACTTTAGGATTGATACTCTGTGTGTGTGTGTGTGTGTGTGTGTGTGTGTGTGGCATCGTTCTCCTTCTCTTGCTTCCCGTTCACTCTCCCAGCGCCCCTGCGCTCTCCTGCGACTTTAGGATTGATACTGTGTGTGTGTGAGGCATCATTCTCCTTCTCTTGCTTCCCGTTCACTCTCCCAGCGCCCCTGCGCTCTCCTGCGACTTTAGGATTGATACTCTGTGTGTGTGTGAGGGATCGTTCTCCTTCTCTTGCTTCCCGTTCACTCTCCCAGCGCCCCTGCACTCTCCTGCAACTTTAGGATTGATACTGGGGGGGGGGGCGTTCTCCTTCTCTTGCTTCCCGTTCACTCTCCCAGCGCCCCTGCGCTCTTCTGCGACTTTAGGATTGATACTCTGTGTGTCTGTGTGTGTGTGTGTGTGTGAGAGAGAGAGAGAGAGGCATCGTTCTCCTTCTCTTGCTTCCCGTTCACTCCCCCAGTGCCCCTGTGACTTCCAGCGCCCCTGCGACTTTAGCATGGATCCACATGGATCCTCAGGATTTTTGCATTGAGCTACCCCAAACTCACCGTCAGATCACATGTCTGTGGCCACAGCATGAACCACAAAAATCATCCACTGTTTCGTTTAGAATATTTTTTTCTTGTTTTCCTCCTCTAAAAACTACATGCGTGTTATGGTCTGGTGCATGTTATAGAGCGAAAAATACGGTACTTCCAGGTTGCAATCGTTCGTAACCCAAAAAAAGTAGGTTGAAGTGTTCATAACCCGAGGTACCACTGTATCTCTTTTCCCAAGCACTCATATTATTTAACTTTTCCTCTCTCCCTATTTATTGCAATTGCTAAACCCTGAGAATGTCAACTAATTTCAGATTTGATATGGTGTCGCTTTCCTTCAGAATCTTCTTCCATTTCATACACAGGGCTGACAAAATGGCTGTATGAGAAAACTCGATGTATGCTTCTTCCCGTTTACGGAGGGTTTCCAGTGAAATTGAGGACATTTATTGGAGAACCCATCCCATATGATCCAAATATAACAGCTGTAGAGCTGGCTGAAAGAGTAAGTTAACTCTAAACTTGCAAGTTTAAAAGCAGAATATTTCTTTTCCTCTTGGTTTCTCTTTCAGCTCTAAATTTTATTGCACATATTGATTTCCTCATTCTATGTGACCAGATATAGGGTTCATTATATATACTTTTGTGCATTATGCCCATCACTCAATTTTCCCTCTCCTTAACTTGTTGAAACTAATTAAATGGAGAAAAAACTATGTGGTACAAAGAGAGATCTGCTCATGCAATGGGATTTCTTCTTCCCACTATATTAGGGTTGAGCATACAAAATACATTCTGGAGGTTTACCATATTTTTCGCCCCATAGGACGCACCGGCCCATAAGGCGCACGTAGTTTTTTGGGGGAAAATAAAGGGGGGGAATTATTTTTTCCCCAGGTGCGGGGCTGGGGCGGGGGAAGCCCGAGCTTCCCCGGACCCCAGCCCCAAGAACAGGCAGCTCTCCGCAAGCCGTGGGAGCCCAGCACGGGCTCCCACAGCTTGAGGAGAGCTGCGCGAAGCTTGAAGCCTTGGCACGCTGAGCTCACCGAGCCCAGGCTTCGGCATGCAGGCAACTCTCCGCAAGCCGTGGGAGCCCAGCGCCGGGCTCCCACAGCTTGAGGAGAGCTGCGCGAAGCCTGGAGAGTCCTAGAGCGATGGCGAAGTTGCGCGCAGCTTCGCCATTGCTCCCGGAGCTTGCGGGGCTGGGGGTGGCGGAAAGCCTGTGCTTCCCCCGACCCCAGCCCCCATAACGGGTCCCAGAGCGATGGCGAAGTTGCACGCAGCTTCTCCATCACTCCCGGAGCTTGCCGGGCTCGCTCTCCAGGCTTCAGCGAAAGCCTGTATTCGCACCATAGGACGCACACAGATTTCCCCTTCATTTTTGGAGGGGGAAAAGTGTGTCCTATACGGCAAAAAATACGGTATATCAATAATCAAATAATAGATCTTATTCTAATTGCTCCTGATGAAAATTTTGGTCAATTGCATAAAAGGTTGTTGAGCTGAGCTTCTTTGGGGCCATTGGTCAGAAAGTTGTGATTTTTTGGGGGGGCGGTTGCCCTCTCCCCACCCCAGCTGCCCACATGCGCAAAACAGAACCAGAGCCACTCACGTAGGAGCCCGAAACAGCGCACAGACAAATTTGCCCCCCCAACTCGGATATTTCCTTAAAATTGAAAAAAGAAACCCCCCAGATGGCCCCAGAAGGACCAGTCTGGGATTTCCCAAACATATGGCAACCCTACACTATGTGCCCCAGAATCTGCCTGACAAGTTACCTCCAAGCCACTGTAGTGCTAATTTTTGAGGATATGGAGAGGGTTGAAGAGGAAGACAATTCATTGTACACGTTGATATATGTTACATGTACACACTGATGTGTGTTTAAGAGAGCATTGGATACAGCTTTGTTAAACGGTGCCATAATTCCTGACCAACTACCAAGCTATCAACTCTGAACCTGCAACACATATATTGTAATTTGTTATATTTCATGCATCAGCAAGCTCCTATATGGGATGCAGTTTCACTGAATACAATGTCAAACACAGATACCATTTGTATGGTATTTCATTGCATGACTTATTCCAACTGCTCCTGCAGGGGATGTTACACTTCCCCGCTTCCTCCAGGAAAACATGGGAATCTGAATCCCAAAGGGAGGGGGCTAAGGGGAGGAGCATGTAGGGTCCTGGTGGCTGATGGGAACGGGGCTGGAACATTGTTTAGTATGCCTGATTCTTCTCCAAGCACTTTCTGCTTGTTTTCTTGCTGCATCAAGTTTCAGGTTTTGATTGCCTGTTTAAAGGGGCAGATAAGAAATTTCTTTCTGCAAGGGGTTATGCCTTGGTTGTCCTGAGGTTCGCTCCTTTTATCCTACATTGTAACAACCATGCAAGGTAACTACTGTGTACAAAGCAGCCCAAGGCACATATGTTTGATTGTTTCTCTGCCATTCTCATACAGTGTCCTTGGTAAACATAAAGAGAGTGGGCTGGATTCACTGAGAGATGAGCAGTTTCCTAGTGGGGGGTTCCTCACCCTGGCTGCTCTGGCCCAACCCTCCATGTTGAAGAAACCACTTTTGAGGGTTGAGAGACAAGGACTCTCATGCAACACATCTCTGTGTACAAAGTCAGTTGCAGTCCCAGAAAGAAGTCACATATTGTGCTTCTATAGCTGGAATAAATGGGTTGCCTCTGGTTCTGATCCCTTTACCTTTTTCCTCACAGATATTAATAACTGTGAATACCTATTTTGCAATCTATTCCTCTAACACAATGTATTCCTCTGGTTTTCTTTCAACAGGCGAAGATTGCACTTGAAAATCTTCGGGATAAACACCAAAAAAGGCCAGGAAATATATTAAGAGCTCTTTCAGAACGATTTGATAAGCATTACAAAGCTAACTAGTCCATATAAAACAGTTGCAGTGTTTCTGACGAGGTGTCTGTAATAGGAAGCATTAATACTTACGTTATTAAAGCTAAATTGATATACACAGAATTGTGCTGGATTGTTTATTAATTATCTGGAAGGGTCCCTAGCTCAGTAGCTCAGCACCTGCTGTGTGTGCAGAAGGTCCTATGTTTTTGAAGACGTAAAAGTGCTTTTCTGCCCTATTCTGCAATATACCCAGAATTCCCCTTTTTGGGGAACTTGCACTAGTAGTGGCAGAATCGAACAGTATAACAGGAAGGCGAGTGTTTAACTAAACATGAAATAATATTACATGTGAAAGAGCAATGTCTATAAATCACCTGTATTAAAACAGTGGTACTTCTTTTATGTTTATTAAAGGGTGCTCCAATATTTAAGCCCTATAATGCAAATCCTTTAAACCTATAGCAAGAAGAGTAGAGAAAACAAAAATACAGCTGGAATTGGTGAAAAAAGTGACTGATCTAACGAAAACAGCCAACTCAGCTATAAATCTGGGTCTGGTGCCCGCCCCGCAGTAGCACCGTTTCCCCCCCCCCAATTGAAACCCTCTTATCAAATGTCAAATAGGTAAACAACTACACAACTTTCTGAAGACATCTGAAGGCAACCCTGCATCAGGAAGTTTTTAATTGATGATGTGTTGCTGTGTTTTTTTATGTTCTAAGCTGCCCAGAGTGATTGAAACAACTAGGCTTTTACACACACACACACACACACACTATCTCCTTTACCTTTTAGCTCCTGAAAGACTCAAGTTCCCATCTTAGCTGATTTCTTTCTTCCATAGCCTCAGTTATGAATACCAGAGTAGGCTGATCAGGATTCAAGAATTTGTTGGGCATTTGTTTCTGAAGATGATGTATGGCCCTGTGAACAAACGCCAAGCTTTAGATCTGAAAATCACTGGGTGTGTAATTATAGAGCTGGGAGGTAGATATTCTTGATGATGCCTCACAGTATTATGGTCATTGGCATGGTGCCATGGACATAGAGTGTGCCATGGAAATACCATATTTTTTGCTCCATAACAAGCAATTTTACTCCTAAAAAGTAAGGGGAAATGTCTGTGCATCTTATGGAGTGAAAGCACTGGAATGGCAGAGGGATCCCTCGGCTGCGGCTGCAGTCGCGAGCTGAGGGATGCCTCTGAAGGGAAGGGGAAGCAAAGTGAGAGCTGCGCAAAGCGAAACAGAAGCCATGTAAGCAGCTCTTGCTTTGCTTGTGTTAAAGCAAGAAAATTGAGATCCGCTTACATGCTCTGTGCATAGTATTTTTCTACTTTTTTTCCTCCTCTAAAAACTTGGTCTTATGGTCAGGTACAGTAAAATTTTGGTCACAGTATGCTTCTTAATCTTTAAATGGTTTATTTAATTTATTTAGATTCATATCCTGCTTTTTGACAAAATTCCTCAAAGTGACTAGTTCGTTTTACTAAAATAATGATGCTAGAATAATGGAAGCTGCGGAAATATCTACAGAAAATATCCAATTAAGCAGTCATGGGAAATCAATCATACTTGTTGCAATTTTTGTGTGGTATTCATTCAGAAGTGGCTCCATTCTTGTAATCCTGATAGCATCATTTATTGAAGTTCTCACTGCCCACATAGTGAGAGTTTCAACAATGCAGGGTGGATATCAGCTTATTGGGGTGTGCCAGCCCATTTCAAAACCACGCAAGCATAGTTGGGGGTGTGGGTGTACCTAGCAATTAAGGAGGCACAGCAACTGCAGGACAGATTTTCTTACATGCCACAGCATTGCACAATGATGGGTTACAGCAGTGGCAGAGTGTGATGGAGCACTGCTGCTCACCTGACCTCCGACTGGTCACATTGCTGCTGCTTAACAGGAGGTAGAGAGGGAAAGGCAAGTTGGAAGCGAGGTCAGCATGGTATAAACAAACAAGCAGGATCAGTGGAGTGGATCCATTGATGTGTTTAAATCACACCCACCTTGCCACTATCTTCCCCACTCTCCCTCTACCTCCAGATAAGTAGAAGTGATGCAATACACTGGTTTGTTCCCCTCACAAAACCCTCAGCTATTGGATTACAAAAAAATAACCCCCTTGCCCCAATCATATATCTGAATATCAGGAATGATTTATCCCAGTTGTAAAATTTTGTAGCAGTCATTTCCCATATTCTTTCTGCTGCCTTCACTACCATCTTACCTCCATATTGGAGAAGCAGATAGCTTCTCCTTAATAGGCTGTACCAAGGAAAGGAAGGAATAGCAAAATGATAAAAAGATAAAAGAGAATTGATCCTTCTAGTCCATTGCAATCTGTCATTTTCTTAGTTGCTTCCCTGTCCAAAGCCATTAGTTCTAAAACATTCAGGTGTTGAGATAGACTGTAGAGAAAGGGTCCATTTGGCCAGTGGGAGCTGTTGCATTAGGGTTGATGAGCCAAATTCAGGCTGTGCAATTAAAACTGATAAAACGGCAATCTGCCCTGTGCCAGGCCCTTCCTGTCTGCCTTCACACTTATGACATGGGGATGCCACTGCCTGCTAGTTTTCTCCTCCTCAATTCCTGTTGCCATTGTAGTACTCAGCAGAGACGAGGACTGGGGGCATAAGTACAATCAGTGGCTCTGGGTTTTCTTCTTGTTGGCATTCCTGCCTTCTGCACTACCCATCCTAATAGGTGCCTTTTTATTTCCTCCACCCACATGCCAAAAGAACCTTTACCTATTCGGCCTTTGCAAGGGTTGGTGGGCTTCCGTGGCACATTTGTCTTGGCTACTTTCATATCCCTTTCATGTATTTTTGAGAAATAAACGTTAAGACCACCATATGTGTATGTGATTACAGTATTGCTCTGGCATAACTGACAAATGCATGCTGGACATGGATCCTCCACCCCCACCTGACAATATTGAACATGTACCGAAAGCCGGAGACCCTTTGATGTCAAAGCATGTCAGCCTGGAATTTCTGGAGCTCCTGAGAAAGCAAAGCATACTGCAGGAGCAACGAGTGAAGAAGCTTTTTGATGAGCTGCCTGCAGAAAAATCAGCATGGCAGAATTTAACCAAACAATCAAACAGATGGTACTGGAGATCTTAGACAATGCCTAGAGCACAAGTAGCTGGTCAAGTTAATTAGAGTAGGATTGATTACTGAGGATGATTACTTGAGATTCAGTATTCAAACCTAGTAGGTGTTAATGAAATCCACATGCACATGCTGCTGTAGAATTAGATGGCAGGTCCAATGGAAGAGCTTTTACAGTGCTAGGAATCAATATTGTAAACATGACATGTTACTAAGGTTTACGTATTGCAGGATGATCCTTTAACATGCATATCTTGTCACAATTCCTACCTTTACTCCTTAATAACTGGTTTTCTGTGACCCAATATGTTATCGTTCAATATGACTGCTATTGTAGATGTGATCTCATCAGTTATCCTTAATTAGAATCATAGAATCATAGAATCATAGAGTTGGAAGAGACCACAAGGGCCATCGAGTCCAACCCCCTGCCAAGCAGGAAACACCATCAGAGCACTCCTGACATATGGTTGTCAAGCCTCTGCTTAAAGACCTCCAAAGAAGGAGACTCCACCACACTCCTTGGCAGCAAATTCCACTGTCGAACAGCTCTTACTGTCAGGAAGTTCTTCCTAATGTTTAGGTGGAATCTTCTTACTTGTAGTTTGGATCCATTGCTCCGTGTCCGCTTCTCCGGAGCAGCAGAAAACAACCTTTCTCCCTCCTCTATGTGACATCCTTTTATATATTTGAACATGGCTATCATATCACCCCTTAACCTCCTCTTCTCCAGGCTAAACATGCCCAGCTCTCTTAGCCGTTCCTCATAAGGCATCGTTTCCAGGCCTTTGACCATTTTGGTTGCCCTCCTCTGGACACGTTCCAGTTTGTTACATTACAAATGGCCACAACTTCCAAGTAGCAGGCACTCTAAGCACTCCCTCTTTTTCACAATGCTTCATTTCCTGATTCAGATGGCACACCCAACAGAGTCTCTTTAAACTGCCACATAAAGGGACATGTCGCCATAGGGGTGGAAATTAGCCTACGAAAAAGTGCACCAGACAAGACTTCTGCTGCTTCCAGAGAGAGGTGACTGAATTAAAGGCAATTTAGGCTTACCAGGAATATAAGTAAAAGTTTTTGTTCAGATAATCATAAAGTGTAGATTTGGAAGGGTTCCAAGGGTCATCTAGTCAACCCCCTGCAATGCAGGAATCTCATCAAAGTCTCTCATTCTATTTGAAACCATACTGATCAAACCATACAGATCAAACCAATGTACTGCATTTTCTGTTTTCCAGGTAAACAGTGGGGGAAACAACTGAAGAAAATTTCACTTCATATATTTATTTCATTGGCATACGCTTGGTGCTTCAGATCAGGAAACAATGAGCTGGTTTACTCAAATGCTGCAAAACTTGATTAGTTTTCCTTATTTAGAAGAATACCTGAGCTCAGTGGTTCACCCTTGGTGGTTTCGTAAGCTTCTGATTTTGCTTTGTTCATTAATGATAGATATATATTTGGCTGGCTGTGCTTGCTTATTTGGGCTATATGTTTACAAGAAGTTGAATAAGCACCAAGAAACTGGTACTGATAGCAAAATTTGGAAAAAGCCAAGGAAATTTTTTGCTCATATTGCAGATATATATGGAAAGATATGGCATGGTGAGTAAAAGTTTCTTTCATAGCAATAATTCTTTCTTATGAGTCACTATAATTTCATAGGACTGAGGATCAGAATTTCAGGCTTGAAGCACTGGAACAAAAGTTGCCACAGTGAATCAGGACTGGACCTCTGAACCCCCCCTCAGAGTCACAACAGCTACAAGTTTGGGTTGGCTATATGAGGATCAAAACAGGGGCATGGCTATTTATTTATGTAATAAGAAAAACAAAGCATTTTATGAAGTATGAAACTAAGGTCCTGAGCCAGCCTCCTCCTTATATACGCCCTGAGGGCAT